AGACTAGCACAACCTCAACAGGCTCCCAAAGATGAGCTAGCCTGAACAGAATCAGCACTACAAGCAAACTCCCAGAAAGGATGGCTCTGCAGAACACATGGATGTACTTTCTGCCCAGCAGACCCAGCCTAACCACTTCAAATAAGGCTCAGTTAGTTAACTGGAAGAGGAAAAATAACTTTTCAGAGATTCTTGTTTTCAAAAGCAAAGAATTTTCACTGGGTGTAGGTCTATACTTCCAATACCAGCTCACTCCCGCCCCCAGGAACAGCATTCCTCTACACAGTGCTCCCCCTCCTCCTCACTACTTCTATCTCCAAGACACAATGCTGGGAAGTGAAAAAAAAGCATCAGAATAGCTGAATCATCCAACATGTCAGATAAACCTAGCAGGACTTTAAACTGCAGTCTTGAAAAACTCTTCCATACTTCTCAGAATAAGGATGAAGGGGATTTGCCTCAGCACTCTGGCCTAATCCTAACCCCTGAATCCTCAAGAGTTCCACAAAACTCCATCATCAAAACAGTCTGCATTCTTAAGTAAAACTGTCCTATTAGCAAAACCAAATGGCTAAAACAAAGGGCTGCTCTCCCATCATAAAACACTTATTCTCATGTTAATTTTAGGGATAATAAATCTCTAATCTAAAGATCTGGGGGGTCTTTTTAATCAAACTAATTTCTTATGGGTTTGGCTGTGACTGTTCCTCAAAGATGAGCCCAGCCAAGGACAATGGATACAAAGGGCAATAAGACACCACCCAATCTAATTTAGCAAATGTAGAAAACAGCACTTGCATGAAGGACAACACATGCAAACTGCTCATATGGCAGAAGTTTTTATGGTGGTGCTTTGTATTTACACACCAGGAAGTCTCTGAAGCAAGAAAAAAAAAAAGACACTTGCAATGGGCTACCTTGGCAGCTTGAACCTTTGTCCATCCCCTCTTCCAGGAGGAAATAATCTCTTACAGGACATCAAGGGAGAAGCTACAGCCTCTCTCCCTCCTTCTTGCCCAGCTCATCGATATATAGTTAGAGTCACCTTCTCTTTGTCCTCAAATCAAGCCACCTCTCTTCTAAATCTACCTTAGTGACCAAAAGGGACAGACAGTTATTTGCAAGATGAAACAAAGTTCACAAAATCACACAGCTAGCTCTAGTCTTCTCAACTGTCCCTGGAACATCTGAACTCAGCATCGCGGGAGCAAAATGCCATACTTCAGTGACAAAGGCACTAAGACAGCCCTGTACAGCAAGCGGCCAGGAAGCTGCAACAGTTGCCACAGTTGTTTGTTTCAGCCACCAACACATGAATGACCACAAGCTTTTCCAGATTCTACAGAAATGCAGAGGCTAGGCTGATGGATCACCACGTGCCTGATTCTGGACCGGCCACAGCCAAAGCCACCGTAACCTGTTGCACTGCCGGATGGACAAGTAGCGGTAAGAGCAGGACCACTGTGGAGAGAAGGGGAGGGCACACAGGGGAAATGAAGAGGAGCAGGGAACACACAACAGATCCAGGAATACTGCAGTTCAACCACAAAACACAAGGCCATGGAAAAATATTTAATTAGGCTCAACGTACACAGAGTCATCAGTTCTTTCACTCAGCTTTTTAGGTCATGGTAACCCAGCACCACACATTCAAAAATTCTTTGCTACATTAAAGCAAACATTTTTAAGCTACAGTGATAAATCACTTTTTTGTACTTTCTTCAATGAGGTTTGAGCACATAGCATCTTCGTGGGTTGGTATTTGTTTAGAATGGAATAGGAGAATCACTTTCAAAAACAAGCATCCGTAGTTAGGGGTTTTTTTAAAGGAAAGGTTGCAAACAAATCTGCTTTGAATCACTTGGGAATCAACTATAGAATCTAAAGTTTATTTGTAACTTAAGGCTTTATTCCAGTTCTATATGCAAATCAGTATCCATTAGGAATTCCAACAGACAGCTACCAAACTACATGTTTGATGACAAAGTTTTTGCCCCACAGTCTTCATACCTTCAGAATAACTAAGACATTACTCAACTTCTACTAAGCAACCATTTCTTTTAGCTGTGTTTTTCTAAATCCCCCCAAAAGTTCAACTTAACTAACGAAAAGGCCATTCCAAATTTATGACAATAGCTGAGCATCTGTTATGAGCACTGCTTCTCAAAATGTAAGCCACAAAGATCGGGAAGCTTACATGGTGCCAGCTTGCTTAATTACACGTAAAACAAATAAAACACTTGAAGTATTTCTGAAATATCAATTTCATTGCAACCAGGAGCTAAAGTCACTATACAATTGCATCAAAATCACAAGAGCTGATTTGCACAGCCATTGGCTGGACAGTGCCTGATGCATTAGCCTGTATGAAACCCAGTACAGGCTACTTTGCTGTTGAGTCTTTTTCAGTGTTTCTGAAGGTGTTTAATCGCATACAAAATGCTCATATTTTCCAAGACAGCTAGATGCTCAGGTTCAAGACCTTGAACAAAGAATGCTGAACTACATATACTGAGTGATTTTCAACATCATAGATTGAAAAAAAAATCCCACTCCAATCCTACATGATAACGCTGTAGGCTACCAAGTGAAAAGCACAGCAGTACTTGCACTTTTTCGTTTCTTAGTTTGCAGCTGTCTGGAAGGGGAGGAGGACCACTTGACCCAATATTCAAAACAAGTTTCACATTGACCAAAACCATATCGTTATTTTTAAATTAGTTCATATTAGGGAGGTGCTCTAAAGAAAAGCATGTGAGATATGAAAATGCTCTATCTTCATAACAAGATTTAAATACCATGCAGTATGTGAGGCTTAGAGGTGCTCAACAGTGGAAAAGAAAATGAACAGTTGCTTATTAACAGAGGATCAGCCTCCCTAACATAACAAATGAGTCTAGGTTCCTTCATAGTATCACTCACAGCATTTTTATAAAAGAGCTCAAAACCAACTTTAACTGTGGAATTTCTTAGGCCTTGGGTACTTCCGCTGGCAATCAACATATTATTTTAGAAGCCTGTGCATACATTTAATACACTAATTTAGTAACTGCTTTGGACAGACCCTTCATGAGCAAGACAACAGTTTCATTTCTGTATGAAATTAGAACTATGCCAGCATTTAAAGATACAGGATATCTGCTCCTCAACCTTCTCTGGAATAAGATAAATGAAAAAAAAACATTGGCAAGGAAACAGTCCCTCGCAAGCAGAGCTTTTCTTAGAAGCTCCCAACAATTTCTCATACTGGAAAGCATTGTATTTAACACCACCACAGACCCTAACCTTAAGACAAGCTCTGTTTTATGTTACCAAATAAAATGAAGCTTGTCAATAAAGAGGTTCCCTTCCTGCCCAAAAGCAAGATTTCTGTGCAAACAAGAAGGAACGCTACATTGAAATTCTGCGTAGGAACTCTTCAGCAATTTCTCAGAGTACAGAAAGGTAAAGTGAACAGCATATCTAAAAGCCTGCTGTCCATGTGGTCCCACTTTTTGCTGCATGGTCCCACTCCCTTTAGCGCACCTCTGATTACTCACTGCGCCAATCCGACTCAGTAATGTGGAGGAAAATTATGACTCTTCCCTACCCCACACAGTTATTTCAGTTTTCTCCTAGAATAACAAACTCAGTCTGCTCACCAAAAGGTCAGATAAGTGTCAGGTCAGCACTAGTACTTCGAGTGTGATGCTCCTACAGCATGAACACCTTGCTGCTACCTGACTCATCCAGCCACAGTCTTCAAAAGGCTAAATGTTAAAATTGCCCAATTTCGTCTCAAAAGCAAATGGAACTTCTCCTCCTCCATCATAAATTAAACACAAACAAAATCAGGTATGTCAAATGCATACTAGCAATATCTTATGTGTACAGGAACATACTTAAAACTAAATGCAGTTAGCTGGAAATAAGGGCAAAAGGTAAGTCAACTTGACTACGTTGATCTGTGGAGGTATCTCTGACCTTTTCCATTCAAAAAACATGAAATATATGTTTAACAGTACAGCGCATACACTTTTTGATTCCCTTTGTGCATTTTAATACAGAGTTTGGGACATTCAAATACATTTACATCTCTCTTTGAGATGTAGACAAAGTTATGTGATAACAAGAGGTGAGTTTCCAAAACAAAGCAAGACCGGTGCAAGAAGCAAATGGAATCAAAAACCACAAAATTTCTCTTCTCAGCCCCTGTATTCAACAAGTGAAAGTTTCAAGATGTTGTCAAAACATTCACTCCCAACACTTTCTCCCAAGCATATGATCAAAGTGACAGTTACTGTGGCATCCTCTGATCTTCTGCTATGAATTGACCAAATTGTGCTAAAGCCTAATGAACTAATTCCACCCGAGGAGGACAAATCTCACCAATTTCTCTTAAAAAAAAAACCACCAAAACCCCAAAAAGCTACCCCCTTCCATCACACATTCTAGACGCTCACCCCATGTACACTTCTACATGCTCTTGGGCACGTGTAAGTTTATTTTCAGAGCAAGCAGAATCTCCCCTTTATCCCCTCCTGGCTCACACCTCTTCACACACAGCTTGTGTGGGCAGCCTCCCCCAGCAGCTGGCTGTGGCTCAGGACAACAAACGCCAGCGCGCCCTCCGCTTTCAGACTGGCCTTGTGTCCCCGATCTACCACCACAGCCCAGCGCCTCCCGCCACTTCAGCCGCGCCCCGCCCGGGTGAAGCCCTCCCGCCCCCGGCTCCCCCTGGGGCTGGAACTGGTCAACCCCCCCCACCTGAGGGAGCCCCACACTCCCCGACGGGGCGGCCGCCCCACAGGGTGGGAGTGAGGACGACGAAAAGGGAGCTGCCGAGAATGGGGCTCTTCTTTCGCCCTTTGTTGGACAGGGAGTGGGCAGACTCGGGGAGTGGGGCCACATGCTGAGGGGCAGAACAGAGATGGGGGCTCCCCCCCTCGCCATGCAGCCATGTTCCAGAGCGTGGGCTTCCCTCGCCCGCTGCCGCCCTGCCCGACCGCTCTCGCACCCACCTTTCTGCGCCCCGGTGCCCCGCGGCACCAGCAGCAGGAGCAGGAGGCTGAGGCGGAGCGGAGAGGCCGCCTGCCGAGTCCCCGCAGGGAGCTGCAGCCCAGGGCTCACCATGCCCCGCGGCGTACCCGGCAGCCCGAGGGCATCGCGGGCTGCAGGGCAGCCGAGCCCGGCCGCGTCTGTGCCCCGCAGCCGCCGAGCGGGACGCGCCTGCGAGCCAGCTAGCGAGCTCGCGCCGCCAGCAGCCCCCTGCAGCCGGCCCAACCGCTTCCGGGTGCGCGGCTCTGCCCCGCTTCCTGCCGCTCCCCCGCCCCGCCGCCGAGAGGCTGCCCCAGGTGTCGCCGCGAGCCCCGGCGTCCCGCTGGCGGCTCCCGGCCCTAGCCCCGTCCCGGGCGCTGCAGGGGTGCGCAGGAAGGCGGGCGGCGCCGCCGGGGCGGCCAGCTCGGGATTAGCGGCCCCGAAACAGGGTCCCTAGGAAATCAGCCCCTACTTCTCTGTATTCCATCTCCGTCCTCCTTAACGAGTTGGCTACAAGTATTTAACTTCCCTCTTCCCCCAAAGTAGAGATTAAGTGAGGCAAAATTGACTGGAAAAAAACAAAATTCTCTGGAAGCACTGCTGTTGCTGTTGTTAACAGAAGAGGATAAACTGGTGTCATAGATCACACATGAGAATTCGGCTCTAGAAAGCATGGGATCGGCAGATAAGACCCAAGCCACTGCAATTTTAGTTCTTGTTATCTAGCTTTTGAACATTTACAGTGTGTCATTGGGAGGCTTGCTTTAGGAGGATAAATTCACCCATAGGGAATAGATACTTAAAATAAGAAACTTTCAAGTCTTGGAATCGTAACAAAAAGCAAAATAGCACATTTGCAGAGACTTGTGGTAGCTGTTACCATACTGAAACAGTTCCCCATGGTTGTCAAGAAAGCATGTTTTGGGAGAAAAGCATCCTAAACACTGGTAGGATCAAAGAATTACCTTTGTAACGCCATCATCATGATGGAAGGGAACACCTTGTTACCTGTTTTTCCGTGGTAGATGAAAGCAATGTAATTTTCAGATGCTGATGAAACATTGTGGCCATGCATACACACCTACAGTCCCGGCCTTGCTTCCTTCTAGGGAACAAGAGCAGCCCCCACACAGACATCATTTTACACTTCTGTCAGCTTCAGAATTGAAACCTCCTCAGCCTTCCACTGCCCATACTCTCACCACAAAGCAAAGGGACTTGGGACTCCAAAGATCAGCTTCCAAAGATCAGCCTCTCAGACAGTACAGGCCTCATGGTTCATCTTTTCTGCTGTGGAAGGGCCACTGCAAGTCAACCCCATGTCCTGGTGGTGGCCAGCCCTAGTGGTTCCGCTGTGTAAAATGTCTTAAGGAAGAAATCATTCTCTGCTTCCTCTCTTGAACAGCTTTGTGAAACAGATACTGCTTTCCTGGCCAGTGGTGAAGTCCAGTGCTGACTCAACTGAAAAGGCAGGAAAACTACCTCAGGAGTCAGTCTTTCCCAATCCACAGAGTTGCTTGAAGAACTATGTAGATGAGGTTTACTAGTTAGAATCATAGAATAGTTAGGGTTGGAAAGGACCTCAAGCTTGTGTTAATGGGAATACAGGTGAGGTGGAGGTGAACAGTGCAGAATGGGACATGTGGAGGAGCATCTGTCTGTATGTAGTACAAGAAGTTTAATTAGTTATCTCTTTTTGAAATAACATCCTTTCAATAACATCCACCATCACCAGCTCTTTGTAAATTACTCTATCAAGATCACAGACTCATAGAATCATAGAATAGTTAGGGTTGGAAAGGACCTTAAGATCATCAAGTTCCAACCCCCCTGCCATGGGCAGGGACACCTCGCACTAAACCATCTCACCCAAGGCCTCGTCCAACCTGGTCTTGAACACTGCCACAGATGGAGCATTCACAGCCTCCCTGGGCAACCTATTTCAGTGCCTCACCACCCTTACAGGAAAGAATTTCCTCTTTATATCCAATCTAAATTTCCCCTGTTTAAGTTTTAACTTGTTACTCCTTGTCCTGTCACTACAGTTCCTAATGAAGAGTCCCTCCCCAGCATCCCTATAGGCCCCCTTCAGATACTGGAAGGCTGCTATGAGGTCTCCACGCAGCCTTCTCTTCTCCAGGCTGAACAGACACAACTTTCTCAGCCCATCTTCATATGGGAGGTGCTCCAGTCCCCTGATCATCCTCATGGGCCTTCTCTGGACTTGTTCCAACAGTTCCATGTCCTTTTTATGTTGAGGACACCAGAACTGCACACAGTACTCCAGGTGAGGTCTCACAAGAGCAGAGTAGAGGGGCAGGATCACCTCCTTTGATGCAGCCTAGGACATGGTTGGCTTTCTGGGCTGCAAGCGCACACTGCCGCCTCATGTTCATTTTCTCATCAACCGGCACCCCAAGTCCTTCTCCGCAGGGCTGCTCTGAATCTCTTCTCTTCCCAACCTGCAGCTGTGCCTGGGGTTGCTCTGACCCAGGTGTAGGACCTTGCACTTGTCATGGTTAAACTTCATAAGGTTGGCATCAGCCCACCTCACAAGCTTGTCAAGGTCCCTCTGGATGGCATTCCTTCCCTCCAGCGTATCAACCGAACCACACAGCTTGGTGTCATCGGCAAACTTGCTGAGGGTGCACTCAATCCCACTGTCCATGTCAGTGATGAAGATGTTAAGCAAGACTGGTCCCAACAACAAATTCCTGAGGGACACCACTCATTACTGGTCTCCAGCTGGACATTGAGCCATTGACCACAACTCTTTGTGTGCAGCCATCCAGCCAGTTCTTTATCCACCGAGTGGTCCAGCCATCAAATTGATGTCTCTCCAATCTAGAGACAAGGATGTTGTGTGGGACAGTGTCGAACGCTTTGTACAAGTCCAGGTAGATGACATCAGCTGCTCTACCCCTGTCCATCAGTTCTGTAGCCCCATCATAGAAGGCCACCAAATTGGTCAGGCAGGATTTCCCCTTCGTGAAGCCATGCTGGCTGTCACCAAGCACCTTGTTGATTTTCATGTGCCTTAGCATGCCTTCCAGGAGAATCTGCTCCAAGATTTTGCCAGGCACAGAGGTGGGACTGACTGGTCTGTAATTCCCTGGATCATCCATTTTTCCCTTCTTGAAAATGGGGGTTATATTTCCCTTTTTCCAGTCATTGGGAACTTCACCTGACTGCCATGATTTCTCAAATATGATGGCCAGCGGCTTAGCAACTTCATTCTCCAGCTCCTTCAGGACCCGCGGATGGATTTCATCAGGACCCATGCACTTGTGCATGTTCAGATTTTTAAGATGGTCTCCTACAGTGGGCCCGAGGTCTTCATTCTCACAGTCCCTGAGTCTGCCTTCCAAGACTTGGGTGGTTTGGTCAGAGCCTTTGACAGTGAAGACCGAGGCAAGGAAGTCATTCAGAACCTCAGCCTTCTCCAAATCCTCTGTAGCTAGCTCTCCTGAGAGCTTCCTGAGGGGGCCTACGTTGTCCCTAGTCTGTTTTTTATTTGCTATGTACCTGTAGAATCCCTTACTGTTATCCTTAATATCCCTAGCCAAGTTTAATTCTAACTGGGCCTTAGCTTTCCTAACCTGGTCCCTAGCTTCCCGGACAGCATCCCTGTACTCTTCCAAGGCTGCCTGTCCTTGCTTCCACTTTTTATAAGCCTCTTTTTTCATTTGAATTTTCCTCAGCAGCTCCTTATCCATCCAAGGAGGTCTCCTGGCCCTCCTGCTGCACTTCCTTCTAGTTGGGATGCAACACTCCTGAGCTTGTAGCAGGTGATCCTTGAATATCAACCAAGAGTCTTGGGCCCCCCTGCCCTCTAGGGCTGTATCCCATGGAACCTTCCGAAGCAGGTTCCTGAAGAGGCCAAAGTCTGCTCTCTTGAAGTCCAGGGCAGTGAGCTTGCTGCACGCTCTTCTCACTGTCCTGAGGATCTCAAATTCGACCATCTCGTGATCGCTGCGTCCAAGGCTGCCCTGGAGCGTCACATTTCCAATGAGCCCTTCCCTGTTTGTGAGCACGAGGTCAAGCACGGCACCTCTCCGTGTCGGCTCCTCTATTACTTGCAGAAGGAAGTTGTCTTCCACACAATCCAGGAACCTCCTGGATTGCTTGTGCCGGGCCATACCGTCCTTCCAACAGATGTCGGGGTGGTTGAAGTCACCCATGAGAACAAGGTCCTGTGAGCGTGAGGCTTTTGTTATCTGTCTATAGAGTGCTTCATCCACAGGTTCTCCTTGTTGAGGCGGTCTGTAACAGATGCCCACAGTAATGTCTCCCATAGCTATATTCCCTTTAACCCTGACCCACAAACTCTCTGTGGACTGCTCACCTGTCCCCAGACAGAGTTCCATACTCTCCAGCCTATCCCTAACATAAAGGGCAAGTCCCCCTCCCCGCCTGCCAGGCCTGTCTTTCCTAAAGAGCCTGTAACCTTCCATTCCAACACTCCAGTCATAGGAGCCATCCCACCACGTTTCTGTGATGCCTATTATATCATACCCCCGTAGACGTGCCCACATCTCTAATTCCTCTTGTTTGTTCCCCATGCTACGGGCATTTGTATAGAGGCATCTGAGCTGAGCTCCAACTGAAGCTGGCTCATTGGCTGGAGCAGCTGGGATATCTCTACATCGCTCCGAGCATTTATTATAGGTGCTGGCAACTGACTGGGTGTGTTGGGATGGAATGATGCCCCCCTCCCCCAACACATCTAGTTTAAAGCCTCCTTGACCAGTCTGGCAAGCCTCCTACCAAAACTGCTCTTTCCCTTCTTCATCAGAGCAGCTCCACCAGCCCCCACTAGACCTGGCCTACAAGCTTGAGTCTCGTGTTCAAGATACCCAAACCCCTGACTATGACACCACCCTTTTAACCAGTTATTAACCTGGCTAATCCTCCTAGCTTTTTTAAGGTCCTCCCCTGTATCCTGGAGAATTGACAAAAAGACTATCTGAGCTCCAGAGCCCCTAACCATCTCTCCCAGGGCTCTGTAGTCCTTCTTTATGTTCCCCAGGCTACTGCTATCTATATCCCTAGCACCCACATATATCACCAGGAGTGGGTAATAGTCCGTGGGACTTACCAGAGCAGGCAGCCTCTCTGCCACATCCCTGGTCCGTGCCCCTGGTAGGCAACACACCTCCCTTAAGATGGGGTCTGGCCGGCAGACAAGTGCTTCTGTCCCTTTCAGTGTAGAGTCCCCTACTACTACAACTCGCCGCTTTTTCCTGGCAGCACCAGTAGAGGTCTTCTTTAGCAGTGCATCAGCCGGCTGTTTCTGGCTCGAGCGCGTTTCCTCACTAGCCCCCTGCAGGACAGCAAAGCGGTTCTGCATGGGGACCTCAGATTTAGGAGGAAGCCCCTTGCTTTTGATTGTCCTTTTCCTCCTTTTTTTGTTGTTTGTTTTTTTTTTTGTCACTAATTCCCAGCTTCCCAGGTGAACGGTCTCCTTCTTTCCTTCATGAGCTAGAGGGGAAGCTGGAGGCCCCTGCACAGTTTGGGCCTGGAGCAACCATTCCTGCTTCCTCTCAGCTTCCCTGACATCTCGCAGTCTATTAACAGCGTCCCGCAGCTCAGCCATCTGCTCCAGGAAGGCCTCCATCAGGGAGCACCGAGTGCAGCCCTGCCCATCGTGCACCCTCCCCTCACCAGACCAGTGCATGCACTCTCTACACCCCGAGCTCTGCACTGCAGCCTCCCCTCTCATCGGCTCTGTCTGGGTGCCTACGCTGGCCACCGCCGGGGCAGCCAGAGCAGAGCTCCCGGACCAAGCCCTGGTCATATGGCGAGTGCTCACCATCCCGTTTGCCTGCCCGCGCGAACTGCCGCACAAACTGCCTCGACCCGCTCTGTTTGCCCACTCTGTCCGCTCTGTTCGCTGCGCTCCTGGTCACTCGCGCTCCCTGGGGCAGTTGTTTTTAACATTACTGTTCCTCGTTAACATGATGAAAACTGAACTATGTCCAAGTCTGTGCTCAGAGCTTTTTTAAGGCTTTTTTTTTTTTTTTTTTCCCACAAAGAAACAGGCACAGCATTCTCTTTCCTTCCATACCAACCATATCACTGCAGAGCATACCAGCCATACCATTTGTGACAAATCATGGAAGAATCCAGAATAGATTTGGTTGCTCAGACTAAAGAGAGAAAAATTGTGATGCACATTTTTTACTCATTTGGCCGACAGTTGTGCCACAGCTGCCAGGGAGTGGTTTCTTATATATTTAGGCAATGTTAAACATGAGGATTTTAGTACATTTCCTATTTTTGCCCCTTTTGAAATCTTTTTAGCAACAGACGAAGAGACCCCAATGAAGGCAGAGATAATGGAAGGATATCTCAGTTGAGGCTGGTTTAAGTCCACTTGTAAGATGTAATGGTCACCAAGACACCCTGCAATGCATAATGGAAGATGAATCGACAGTAATTTGTATGCGTTTGTTTTCCATTCACCAGACACAGACGTTCTTGCCACAGGTCACATGAAGCAGTTATATCACTACAATAACATCCTTTTTGAGAGAGCACATTCCTAAGATCACTAATCATTAGTGGCATTTGTTGTGTACTGGAAAAATCACTCCTTGAATAATTTGTGGCTTAGTAGTTTGGTGCATTAACAGGAGCATCTGAGCACATTAATCAATAGCGGTCTCTGGTGGACCTGAGAGAGGTTTCCTCCTGCATTATTTTCTGTTGTGAAGGCTGTGTGGGGTGTTTCATTACCTTGATTTGACTGTTCTAAAGGCTTTTATTTGTCCATTAAAAAGGATATCTGCATCTGTGAGAGGATTGATTTCCAAGAGGGGTGTGAAAACTTGCAGAATTCCTAAAAGCCAAATTTGCTTAATCTATCTTGGAAATTTGTCCCAAAGCCATATTTGCTGACCCTAAATGGTTTATGTGGAGCCCTAGGTCACATATTTTGCAAAGGGAACACCATCCTGACAGAAATGGTACAAACTATGACATTTATACACCCTAAAAGCCTTAAAGATTTATGGACTCTCTGAAGCCAAAGAATTAGGAATATGGTTCCACTAGCAATTCTGTTTGGATGGCTTGTCTTACTACATGCTATTTATGCAACAAAAACAATCTGAAGAACTAGATAAATCCAGATGGTCTTCTTGGCTTTCAGAACCTTCCTTCTTCTCAGAAGATTTCAGCACGAAATGAATTTAAATAGACCACCTGCAGAGTACTACGCATTTTCAACTGTGAGAGGCCCCAGGCATCTCCTCTGGGGGAAACACAACTGTGTAATAAAGAATCCCTTTTAGTATGTGATTTAGAACTGTCCCTGTCATCAAATCAAAAGACATTCATAATTAAGTGTTGTGCAAAGCAAATGCAAATATAGCATCCTATGATGCCAATATCATAAGGCAAGTTGCCTTAAGAAATCAGCACAAATATTTTTGTTCAAGATGGTAAGATAGAAGATCAAACCAACTTCTTGCTGCTTGATAGAAGAATGCCTAGCCAATTAAACATCTCTGCAATGTCTCCTTCCCATTGTGAGTAACTTCTAGAGGTAAATGAAACTATGATCTCCATCTGGTTCTCTCATTTCCCTTGAGAGGCTTCTGATGCATAGGGCTTCTTTTCCACCATGGCTCTCTAGCTTTTACATTCTTTTGTTGTATTTTGAAAGCTGAACTCAGCTGGAGGGCAGGGCTGCTATTCAGAGGGAGCTTCACAGTCTGGAGGCACAGGCTGATGTGAACTTCCTGGAGTCCAACAAGAGCAATTGCAGGGTCTTGCATCTGGGAAAGAATAGCCCCATGCAACAGTACAGGATGGGGGCCATTTGGAAACAACTGCAGTGTAATCTTTCATAAGACTTCTGAGCACTGTGTCCAGTTTTGGTTTCCTCCTGTACAAGAACAATATTGACATATGGGAGAGAATCAGTCAGAAGGCCTCCAAAATGGTTAGGGGTGGAGAATATAATGCATATGAAGAGGCTGAGAGAGCTGGACATCTTCAGTTTGAAGAAGAGAATGCTAAGGGGAGACTTTGTTGACAGGGGATGTTGTAAATGAGCAAAAGAGATTTTCAACTTTCCATTTTCTGTAGTTACTTACCCATGTTCTCTAACTGAAATAAAAATTTATTCTGAAAAGGTTTGATGCTTCTGAATGTAAAGAAAAGAAATAATGCATTTAAACCAGACAAGTTATGGACTTCATGATATTAACACATTAGGACTTTGCTAGCACCTCCATCTCCTTATCCTTGAAATCTTTAAATGTCACAGATGCTCTAGTTTTTTTCTGTGACAGTAAATACAAAGGTGTCCCCCCCCCAGCTAAAGCAAAGGCTGTATGTGCATCTCAAGGTCATATGTCTCCTTTCAGATGTCAGCAGACACCTGAAGGTTATTGCTAGCATTTTTCCCAGATAATTACTTGTGAGCAAGTCCAGATCTGTACTCAGGTTCACAATTTCTCTCTGCTATCTAATGAATTATTAAATCACTTTATCTCTTTTTCTAGAAAACAAATTCCACTGTTTATGGTGGAATTCCAGACAAAAGAATTATGCTATATGCTTAATGAACATATTCTTAGAGTTGTTTAGATTACAGCTACAGTGGCAGTAATAGTCAAATTTGGTTGATAAATGTAGAGGTCTTAACACCAGAAAAACAAGAGACAAATGCCTCACTTGCACAATAATTTTGTGGAAGGGCTTTCTAAAAAATCTAGTTTGTAGGTTAGATCTTGCAATCTGCTGAGATATTCATCCTTAAGTATGCAAACAATCTGAAGTATATACTACTCAAAGCTAAACTAAATTACAGAATACTCTTCAGCCAAAATGTTTTCTGGCATTTCCAAGAGTTTAACATGAGTAAAGTCCACTCAGAGTGAGGGAGTGAATATGTTCTTCTGCTTTGTTTTAGTTCCTACTAGTATTCCTGTGAAGCTGTGTTTAATTTAACTCTTCTGGACACGGTGAACCATCCAGCAGATAACACTGCAAATGCAAACTTCTTTACAGAGGGTGCCACTCTGAAATATCATTTAATGTTCATTACGTAAGTAGCCCTTTTACCTTAGAATGGATAGCTCCAGTGTCCTGCCCATGGTCCTGGGTCCAGCTCAGCAAGCAAGGTTGACATATGCCATGGAAAAAAAACATGCCATCTCTAAGCTGTCCAGGCTTCAAAGTATATTATTCATTGAAAATACAGCTTTATAATTTAATAGCTACAACAACACTGGAACAAACCCCCACCTTTTTCTTATTATTTTTAATTGTTAAAGTGTTTGACTTAAACCAGGAACTGTCATTGAAAAAGTTACTGCTCTCCTTTGCCACAGTTCTGCTTTTTTGGAAAACTCAGTTTAGTAAATAGCTCCATAGTATTTTAAATTAAATAGCCAAAGAAAACCCATGACAAATTGTGAGTAATTTAAGTTACCATGATTTCTACAGAATGAAAACATCTCTGGAGCTTCAGTGGTTTACATGATATTTAAACATTATTTTATTAACTGTTGTTACTACTAACCTACACCCAGTCTGAATGGTTGGTGCTTGATCTTGCAGACACTTCCAGAATCCTGCAGTATGCTTTATGGCACTAGATAAATGTGTGGTACTAAAAAACTGTTGGATCTAGGCCTTGGGATCTAGCTCCTATTGCTCGTGGCTACTCAGTTTCTTCCCATTTGGGATTTCTAGGTTTTGTTACAGCTTTCCCTAAAAATCCTTCTACTTCCCTCTCTGTTTTCATTTTTTTTCTTTGTTCCCATTTTATTTATTTATTTTTTAAGAATAACAACAAAGTCCCAGTTACAGAATGGGTTTTGATTGTATATAATTCGCATCAATGTATGTAATTAATTTCATCCTCAGAAACACATTTACAAAACCACTATGATATATTTATGTAAGATTATTATTTAATTCACTTCAGATAGGAACCTCATGATTATACATAAAGCATATTTATTTGACACTGTAGAGTTATTTGGTTGCTGATTGGTTTATGTTTTTAGAAGAGAATAAACACTTAACATTTAGTTCAGGGTTACTTTGGTAAGCAGCATCTGTTAATTTTATTGTGCGTAAAGTTATTATCAGGAAAAAAATGGTGGCATAAATTCCAAGAACAATTTTCTTTTACATTTTATTCCATTATATATGTGAAACAATTCAGGGATACTGGGGGAAAAAGAAGTTATTTTCTTCTTATTTAAACATGGTAACATAGAGAAGGAAAATAAGAGGGTAGATCTCATACCATCTTCTACCCTTGAACGAGTTCATGTTTATTGGATCTATGCCCAGTACTACTAAGATCCTTCAAATGAAAACAGTTAGAAAAATATTAAAGATGAATTGCGTCTTGTTTGGTACTCTTATATAAAAGCAGTATTTTGAAGTACTGAGCAGTCTAAATACTTTAGATGCAGTGAATCCTATGTCTTAGTGAAAGCTGAAGGAGGATATTATGATTACTATAGGATTAATTCAGCTCTTTACTGATATATTTACACTCTTGAGGAGAAGAGATCCCATTTATGAAATTAGGAAAATAATTAAGAGGACCTGTTCTTTCACCCTTATGAAGATGAAAGAGAGGAGTTCAGTGTCACATGTTCCAGGTCTTTATTTCCAACCTAAAGAAAAAACTGTGTCCATACATCAATATCAGGGAACAGCATAATGTTTAGTTGTAATATATTTGTGCCTAATGCTGTCTACAGGGCAGCTTCAGATTTAAACAGAAACTTGATGTGAGACTATGACACTACAATTTGGGATCTGTGAAGACAATGTCTAGAAGCTAAGATTCAAAAGGAAAAACTTCAAGCAAAATTTTCTGTATGAGAAACAGAGGCATTCTTCTGTGTTTGCAGATGAGATTAGTAATCCCCATAGCAAATAAATCGATTTTTTTCAAGAGTTTATACTTTGCCTGCTCTTAAAGTTGTGAATCAGAGCATGAACATATTGGTATCAGCTCTGTTTCTTCCAGATAAAGAATTTGGAGAGCAGCCTAATTTTTTTTTTGTGTGATTGGTTGTAGTCCCACCAAAGCAAACTGAGCTGAGCTGAGCTGCAACCATATCAGTACTGTGATGAGTAAATTGATTTGTAGTGAAAAGAGGAGACTCAAAATGTGAAAATATATTCTAGAAACACCAGATCAAGGATAAAAAGTCAATTATATCTTTTGTATGCTTTAAGTAATGTGCTGCTGATGGACAGCCCTTAACTGATGCTGATGAAATGAAGAGCTAGAACTGCAGGCAAAAATGACTTCAAGAAAATTGGTGTAGAGTTTAATTGAAATAGCAGAGAATTATAACTTTAAATGGGAGGAAGCCTGAAAATCTTAAAAGCATTAAAAGAAATATTGTACTATACTAATA